TTTTTTTTTTTTTTTTCTTCTTCTTTAACTCATTAAAAAATTTAATACATTTTTGAATGTTTCTGTAGATTGTCTTGCAGACTAAAATAATAATCTTTATATAAAACTAAAAAAATCATATAACAATTAATATATTATTACGAGTGTCTAAATCCTTGTTAGCCGAGACGGATGAGCCGTTTTTTCCGAATATTGAACACAAATTATCATCAGTCTGCAGGCATCAAGTCTGCTATTATTGGATAAACGATATAAACGATAAACGATTATTGTATCATCGGCAATTATATCATCATATAATATTAATATTATCATTATCATAAAGTAATATAATATCCGAGAAAAAAAAAAAAAAAAGGAAGGAAAGAAAGAAAAAAAAAAAAAAAGTGAGTTGGTGATTGATGTTGTGCTTTTTGTGTCTCGTATGGCAAATGTGAATCTCTGGGATACCTATTTTTGGTTTATTTTTTAACGATTAAAAGTTTTTTTTTTTTTTTTTCAAAAAATTTTTCACCTTTGCTTACTAGAATATTTTATGTTATTTGTCGCTCCTTTTATTTACAGCCAACTAAAACAAATTTAGCAGAATAAAATTTCCACTTCTAAAAGGATTTTGTTTGTCAAACAATCAAAAAAGGGTCCATTTAGTCAATTTCTCTTGTACTGGATTTAATTGACCGAAAAAGTAGAAAATCGGCCTCGTTCTTGGATTACTGACTAATTCAACATATCCCGCGTGCAGTGTCACAGCCTAACGCAATCTTGAAGCCAAATAAAATCTTGCATATCTGACGTCACTTCATACAATTTTAAGGCAGGACAAGCGAGGGGGGTTTGCTACTTGTTTTTAACAAACAAACAACGCGTTGACAGACAGACTGTGGATTACACCGTTCGACCACTCAATCATTCTAAACAAAAACGATTCACCCATCTAACTGATAGAGCATTTCAACTTAAGGTATGCAAGATGACAATAATGCACACATCTCCCCCAACTTCTAACTGATGAACGTCGTTTTCTTTCTTCTTTTCTCTCTTTTTTTCTTTTTCTTTCTTTTAACACAGTAAATGGCAGACACCAGTTTTTGGGTAAAAAATCTTTTATTTTTTTTTTTCGCCTTACTCCTCTGCTATTAAATGTAGGTTGAACTTAAAAATAAAACGAACTCAACCAAAAAAACGTCTCTTCAGGTAAATCCTTTTCAGATGATGCGATTTAATGGTAACGATGAATATAAGCAATCGGAGTTTACCAATAAAGCAGGAGTAGGTGATGACGAGTGCGAGAACGGTGGTAAGTTCTTTTTCTTATTTTTTTTATTTTTATTTTTATTTTTTCTTTATCACTCCAAATCTTTAGTACGTAAAAGAACATTCTTTAAATTACGAATTCGTCATGATAATATATTTTTTATTTCGTTTATATTATTTTTGCATTTACTTTACGTTTTATTCATAAAGTCGTATTTTTTCGTTTTATTATTCTACTTTCCATTTCACTCGACTTCATCTCATTTCACATTCGTTACTTCAGTTACTTGACAAGTTGAAGTTGAGTTAGGAATCTTAATTATAACTTTATAAATTAATTAATTAGTCAATTATATTATAGTTTATATATGTCTCCACTTTTACATTGCTGCATTGTTATTATTTAATTAATTTTATTATATTTTCAGCAATAATTTAATTTGTTTCTTTTAAATTTTATTTAATTTTTATTTAACAGATAATCCCATAATCCGCTCATATTCGTCTCGACCGTCAACACCTAAAAAATCTTCACCACCAACACCATCAAGAACACGACGTCATTCCTTAATTTCAGATGAGAAACATAATCTGTCTTCGCCGCCAAAAGGTGTAGCCTACACTCCAAACAAGATTGTTACCCCTGCAGATGCTGCCGCTGTGCTGGCGGCTTCACTGGCACCCAAAGACAATTTCATAAACTATGATAATAGAAAGTTGCATTATCAATCTCATCCGTATAAATATAATAACGAAGAAAAGTCAAAAAGACAATTAAGGCGTAGTTCCAGCTTTAATCACTCAAATCCTCATCAAACATCTACTAACCAAGTTATTGATGTTGCAGAAGTATTATCCACCGCTGTTTCTTTTGTAAGAGAAAATAATAGGAAATTAGATCGACTTTCTGACGAGGTTAGAAGTGACGGGCAAAGCAGTGAAAACGACATGGATTCGGATGACAGTGACTCATGGCAACATTCTAGTAGGAGTAGGAGAGAGATTGAAAATGAAATCTCAAAATTGGCTACTCAATTAGAGTCTATGAAACAAAAGTATGAAGATCAAATCCGTGGAAAAAATAGGTTAATAGAGGAACTCGAATATTCTTTGAAAAAAAGTGAAAAGGATGGTAAAAAGAAACGGAGTGAAATTGAACGCTTAGAAAACCAGCTCGAAGCTCAGAGAAGAGCAATAGACGAACTGGTTGAACAGCAAAATTTGCTCACCAGAAATCAATCTCCTAATCCTGAACAAGTTGAAGCTTTACGACATCTTGAACAAGAACTAGATGACAAAAATAAAACTATTGTAGATCTTGAAAAAAAGATTCAAGTTACTTCCGCTCATCATATATCTGAATCTAAAGAAAAAGAAAGAAAGTTGGATTTAATTTCAAATCAACTTTTTAAATATAAAACTCTTGAAACTCAATGGGATGATAAACAAAAAACTCTCGATTCCTTAACTTCACAATTAGAAGTTCTTAAAAAAAAAGAGGTTGAACTTAATGAAAAAGACTCTTTAATCGAATCTCTAAATATACGTTTAGATACTTCCCAAAAAGTTATTGCTGAATTAAGGGAAAAACATGCTCCACATGATTTATTAAGACAACTTCGTCAAAAAGATTATATAATTGATCATCTTAATCAACGAGTTGAGGACATTGATGCTGATATGAAAGATAGAGATGATCAAATTGAAGCTCTTGCCACATGTTTAGCTGAAGAAAAGAAACAAAATGAAAGATTAGAAGAAGTAGTTTTGGAAATTGATCCATTAAAAAAACGTGTTGAAGAAATGGAAAATTCTAATGGTAATCTTCAACAACAAATTACTCAAAAAGAAAAGATGCTCGCCGATCTCGAAAATAAATATAAAGAAGCATTAAAAACTTGTTCTGATAGTTCTGATAAACTTAAAAATCAAGAACAAAATATTAACTCTCTTCGTCAAGAATTAACTCAGCTTAAACAAGAGGCACGTGATAAAGGCATATATATCACAACTCTTGAGAATGAAACTGCTCATATGCGATCAAATTATCAAAGGCTCATTAATGCTCTCACTGAGAAGGATCAAAGGATCGCATATTTCGAGCAAAATTTAGAAAATCTCAAGAATCAACAAAATGTGGCAAAGTCTGAATCTCAAGAAAAAGAATCAAAAATTAATAAGAATGAGGTTCGATTAAATGCTTTACAAAAAGTCTTGAACACTAAGATCGAAGCTTGCAGAGATTATGAAAAGAAAATCTCTGAATTAGAGAAAGATCTTGATAGTTTAAGGAAACAAATGGAAGATTCAAAAACATCTAGTTCTGAAAAAGAAATTAAAATTACTAAACTCGTCAAAATGAACCGCCAACTTAAAGATGAAGTGGCGGTTCTTAAAGAAAAAATGGAGGAGAAAGAGCAAGAGCTCATTACAATTAAATCAAAGATTCCTCAACCTGTTCCCGGAAAATCTTCTGCTTCATCCGTCAGATCATCAACTTCTTCAAAACCTAAATCTAGGGTGTCTTCTATGTACAGCGTAAGTGGGGGTGAAAGTAGCAGTGATGAAACGGCGAATGGATCTCGTATACGAAAACATGCCAGTCTTAGTGGCATTGAGAGCCCGGTATTGAAGAAAAAGACTACAATCGACCCATCAAAACGACTTTCTGATATCCCTCGTACATCTTTGACCAGAACCAGATCTTCCCCTTCATCTTCAACTGTCAGTAGTGTTAGAAGTGCTACTATTACACTTCCAAAATCACTTCCAAAATCTAGGATGTCTTCTACTCCTAATAGCACTATTGAAGCTCTCAAAAAGAAACGTGACGCAACCATCACACCCAAAAAAGAACCTAGTCCCATTAACCGATCCGCGGTTACCCAACGTAAGCGCGATATGGTTGTCCTTAATCATATGTTGAGTGGTGTTGCTCCCCAAAAAAGACCCAACACCGACAGTAAAGCAGTAAAGAAAAAATCAACCGATTCAGTATCAAGTGATAGTGAACGTGAAACAACAAAAACTGGACCAGCGAAGAAACGATCTAGTGATTTGGCCACAATCATGGAAAAAATTCGTGAAGATTCTACTAAGAAAGGAACTAAAGCAAAAGTGACCAGACCTACTATAGATACAAAAACTCCAAAATCTCCAGTAAAGACAAGAACTCCTTTGACTAGACCTTTGCCGTCAAAAAAGGAGTAAACCAACCATAAAAAGATGTGATGATGTACCTTTATTTCAAACATTTCATATAAAAAAGAATTGAGAAAAGACCTCAATTGGGTGTTGGCGGTCAAAAATTTATTATAATTATTATTATATTATTATTTTACCCTTTTTTTATAAATATCTTTTGGTTGGTATTTAGTTTCTATATAAATATATCCTTGGTTCATTTCCCGTTCTATTCCCCATTACTGTTGGTCACTTTGTTGTGTGGGTCTACTGGATAGACGAGTATGGTCAAGAATTTTCTCTTTCATTTTTACATATGAAAATATATTAATCTAAATCTTTTTTTTTTCTGGGTTTATTTTCATTTTTTCTTATTTTTTTGGTTAAAAAGATGAGAAGGAAACCTCAAAAAAAAGAGTAAAAACATGAAAAAAAAAACAAAAAAAAAGCACAAAAAGATATTATTATTATAAACAAAAAAAAACATTGTGGGTGATATTGTAAATATACACCAAATCGTATTAAGTTTTTTTATATTTTTTTCTTTTTCATTTTGTGTTTTTTTTTTTTTTTATATTATATTTTTAAATGGTTTACATTCTCTTAAAACTTCCAACATCCTATATCTTACATACAATCCCATCTTTCGCTACGTCGTACTTAGTCTTTTTTCAATTTTTTTTTCTTATGGTTTCATTGCAGTACAAAAATTTTTTTTTTTTTTTTTTTTTGTAAATCATTATATTAACTAAAATAAAATGGATAAAGAGAGGCAGAAGAGACCAGAAAAAAAATATTAAAACCAAAAAAAAAAAGGGTTCTTTTTTATTTTGATGTTAAAATTGAATTTAATTGAATGTCGTCGTTATGTGAAGGTAGGTTCTAAAGAATAAATGACTTGTGCATCACAACCTGAAATTTTGCATCTTATGAGTTCGTTTTTATAATCTAGGTATACATATTTTGTTACTTCTACTAATAGTATATATACTTATCTATAGCCTTTATCAAAAAAAGTATCGTCTGAAATGTATAGAGGGGAAATTAGAGATCAATGTTATGTTTGCACCTATTTTAGATTAGATGATTATTGCCATTAGCCAATCTTTTTTTTTTTTAGCTAATCATAAAAAAAACAGTAAGCGATAGTTTCAGATATTTAATATATATATATATATATATATAACAGTATATATAATATATATATAGCGATAGTGAATAAAGCCAAAAGTTGTGTATTAGCAACTAATTGAAGCTTGACCAAAATCGGGTCCGTATCACTTCGTAGAAGTTTATTTCACAGACAATCAATTCATAGACAAGTTTATTTTAAAGACAATTAATTTACAGACAGTTCATTTCATAGACAGTTTATTTCATAGACATTTTATTTTGTTGAAGATTGTCTTCAAAATGAAATGTCTATGAAATGAACTGTTTATGAAATGAACTGTTTATGAAATGAACTGTCTGTAAATTAATTGTTTTTAAAATAAACTTGTCTATGAAATAATTGTCTGTGAAACAAGGTGTTTGTGAAATAAACTTCTATGAAGTAATACGAAACTATAAAAATCTTACCCAGGAGCGCCAACAAAATTTCACAGTCACGTGATAACGGCAAAATTTTTTAAAGTTCGTTTAGGTTAGGGTTAGGGTCTAGGGTTAGAGGAGTTTTAATAGCAAATACGGTGGTTTCTTATGTAATTGTTTGAGAAACAAGCAATTTTTGCAAAGCGAACGTTTGTTCTGATCGTGTTACGTTACACTAACTCCTGCACTATTATTATTGGTTGACAACCACGTGATAGTGAAAATTTTATTAGTGTCCTGGGTAGTTTTGATATATATATATAAAAGATCAAATGGATTTTCTAATTAACTTGATTAACCGTGTATATCTAATTAATTTTTTAGTATATATACTGCAAGTATTATTGTATTTTTTATATTTTATAGCTTACTTGTTATGTTTTTTACTATTTTAAGCAACAATTTATTTTTATTATAACAAAAAATATTTGGTTATAAATTTTTTTTAATTTTTTTATTACAGTAATATTAATGTTATACATAGAAAAGCAAATAACTTTTACAAAGTATTACATAAATATATAATAGTTAAACAGATAGATTTTCTATAGACATCAAATTTGACATAACATTTACTAGTCAAAATAAAGGCAAATATTATAACATTTTTAGTTCTGATATAACACTAATTAATAGCTCGAATCATGATATTTTCAGGTTTATATCAGAGCTAATAGAGCTATTGGTTAAATATTAAAAACCTGATAGTTTTTATAACTTTACTAATAGCTTTATTAGTTCTAATATGAACCTAGAAATAACATGATTTGAGCCATTAATTAGTACTATATCAGAACTAAAAAAGCTATGATACTAGGACCCCAGACATCTCTTATATAGGTCATAACTGATCTGCGTAAATTTGGAGGGTTTTCGCTACCCCTAAAATCAAATAAATTTGCTAAAAATTTAATATGATATATAAATTTTATAGTAATTCGCTGAAAATTCAATTATCACATATATATTTATAAAAAAAAATAAATTTAGATGTATTTTT